TTTGTAATCTATATATCGAAAACGCGATCAACATCATTAAAGACACTACAACTGTAGGGATGGATATACAGGGGCAAAAGATTACTATGCTCAGATTTGCAGATGATATAGCAGTATTAGCATCTAGCAAGGAGGACCTAAGGTAGCTTTAAATAAAATGGAAGCGGTACTGACAGATCAGTACTGTATGAAAATAAATAAAAGTAAAACTAAAATACTGGTATGAAAGGGAAGAAAAAGTAGGGAAAGAGATAATACAAAGATAGGAGATGAAACATTAGAAGAAGTGGCTGATTTTAAGTATCTAGGAAGTCAGATAAGTCAGGACGGAAGGAGTAGTAGGGATATAAACAAGAGAATAGTACAGGGTCGAGTAGCCTTCAATAAAAAGAAGTCACTTATATGCTTGCGAACGGTTAATTTAGAAATTCGGAAAATTTTTTTAAAGGTGTAAGCTTGGAGCGCAGCGCTGTATGGTTGCGAAACATGTACTATGGGAGCGGCAGAAAACAAAAGGTTAGAAGCGTTCGAAGTGTGGTGTTACAGGCGAATGATGAGGATGCCATGATTAGAGAAGGTTAAAAATGAAGAGGTATTAGAAACAATAGGAGAACAGAGGACTCTATGGAAGTCAAGAAGAAATAGGCGAGATAGGTTGGTAGGACACCTTCTCAGGCATGGAGGTCTAGTCAGAGACATATTAGAGACAGAAAGTTTTGATCCAAAATATGAAACATAAACGGTTGTATCCTTTGGTTTCGCTGACTTTGATGTTTTCACAGCTATAAGGGATTGCAGACCTGATTTAATTAGGTATTAATTTAAACTTGATACCTTCACGCGTTCCTGACAAAGAGTCTTTCTTAACTGACAGACAGACAGACAGAAGACGGGCAAGCAAGTGATCCTATAAGGGTCTCTTTCTTTCCATTGGAGGCACGAAACCCTAAAAAGAGCTGATGATACTGTTTAACACTTCCTCTTTGATCTAGAAGATCCTTAGTGCGTAATACTCATAATTAATTGAATCTACTTTTGATGGAAATTCATAATTTAATGCTATTTGTCGTAAATTAGTAGGTATCAATAAATTACAAAATTGCGAGAATCCTTTAGAACAAAATACTCGAAAGCTACTACGTACACATAAAATGTAATTATGCGATAAATTACCTATACTAGAGCGGGAACTACTGAATTCCAAATCTAGTTAAAACTTTTCGACATTCAGAAAACACCTTGAGAAAGAGAGAGGAAAATCTAGGTCAATACTATTTTAGTGTAAATATAAAACATATACATGCAGACATACATACATCTATCATCTATAGAAAAATGTAACGTATGTTACAAATATCCATAATACGCACCCGTGCGAAATGCGTAGAATAAAAAACAGGCCCAGATTATTTTTTGATACATATATATATGTATATGTATGGATAATCTCCTGGCTTATTTCGCTGTTCAAACCTTGCGAACCCAATTTTTGCACTAAAATATAGCCGAGGCCAACCTATTTCAGATAATGATAAAAATATTATTTTATGAAATACAAAATGACGTTTGCTAAAAGTCAGCTGTATTTCAACATTTGAAACACTATTTCTATCAGCTGACGATCAGTCTACAGATAAATTTTATCTTTAACAGCAATTTTACTAAACGAATAACGAAAATAGTTCTGCAGATGTTTCTATTGTATGTAAAAGCAGATTAGTGTTTATCAGTACAGAGATTTTTGAGAAACAAAAAGTTTTTTGTTAATGAAAATTCAGTCTCATCATCGTCACCATAAAGTCGTCAGTCCTAAGACTGGTTGGACACCTACCTCCACTCTTTCCTATCCTGAGCTAATCTTCGCACTTCTCTAAAACTAGAACAACCCACATCCTTAACTATTTGCGAACAGTTATCTAACCTAGGTCTACCTCTACCCCTCCTAACTCCTGTTTCTGCCTCTAATTCAGTCTCATATTAAAAATTATAAACACTACAAGATATTAATGAAAACATTGTGAAGCAGCGTTTCTTATTAAACCTCTGGGTTCCGTGAAAATCATAGAAGGGTTCTGCAACACGTACGTGCCATTTTCATGACATTCCAATAATTGACCGTCGCAGTAGGGTTTAAAATTTAAATTAGAACTACTGGATTAATTTTAGGTATTATTCGAAATAATTATTATTTTAATTACAAACAGTTCATTCTAAAAATGTGGCATTAAAACCTTACTAATATTGAAACAAAAGTGGGTGTTCCACTAAAAAGTGTTGACCATTGAAAAAGATCCCACCTAATAAAAAGTTTAAAAACAGTACTCTACGGGATTCTAAATAATTAACAAACCCAAACTATCTTCAACAGCTGTCTAAAGGTTTTAGTTAACTTTTTGCTTGTTCTCATAAAATGTAAAACAAAACCAAATTAAAGTTTTATAGGCATTCTAAAGGGTTCTCTGAATAACAAGAAGCTCAACGGGACTTAATGTGTATACATAATAGCTTAAATCCACTTTTTATTATAAATAATTCAGTAGTTGTAATTATTTTATAACTTTTTTCTTAATCACAATGAAAAGAAATAGTGTAGGATTGAAGATGATGACTGAAATAATGTTTATTTTGCTATTAAAATGTATAATTTCTAAATTTTAACCTATTTTCTTTCTTTTTCTTTTTATATCGTAGCCTCTGTGTATATCTGTGCGAAAGTGAAAATGAAAGGAGAAAAAAATCTTCGAAAATTCCATGCTCATCACTATAAAGTGTGTGCAAGAAACATGCATTGACAAAATTCAATATTAGCCCAATATATTTTTTAAGAGAATCTTATAAAAATTACTGGAAGCATAGGAATTTTTACTGTGCTGGTATGGTAATTTTTCAACTTTCAGTCAAAGGTACCGAGATTATGAGACAGCATGGTAATTTTTACAAGATTTTTCTCTGAGTGCAGTTTTGTGAAATTGCAGTTCCGTACAATACAATATATAATATATTTTATATAGTTATACATACATATATTGTGTAACTACGATTAGGAATTATAATTTTAATTTTACTATAGTCATAGCTTTCGAAACAAGGAAAGTTTAATTTAATAAAGTAAAAGTATCTACAAGTTTTATGGAAAACTACAAACAATACAATTCAACGATTATAAAGTTAAAATGAACGTTTAAATTTTAACGGTACCACTTTTGTGAAATATACCCTTAATTAAATAGGAAAAATGTAAAATGTAAATTTACTTTAGATTATTAAATCTGAAAATTTGAAGTATCTAGCACGGTCTTTTGATCAAAACTAATTTATCCGATCTGATAATAAATCAAATGAAACTTCTACTACTTCCTCATCTTACTGAAATTAAAAATTATAACTGAAGCATTAAAATTGCTAGATCTTTACCTTTTTAAATAACCAATTTTGTTAATGAGAACATATTTGTTAAGAGAATATTACGGTTAAATTAAATTAAAGGTTATATAAGCGTTTCGATCTCCTATTTTTATATTATTATACGGAACCAAATGAATAAATGGTAATGAAATGTGGAAGAAACAGGTGTATTTATTAATAAATAATATGTATTACTAGGTCACATCACCGCGGAAAATGTACGGGGCGAGCCCGGCGCAGTACGACAATTTATTTCATATCCTCGCAGCGAAACCGGCGGTCTGTAGACCGCGTGTTCCAGATTCGGAAAGTACAAGCCCGATATTTTCGCGCGACCGACGCGACAGCGATCGACGCGGCACGGTCAAAATAGAACTTATGGGAGTCAGTCGTGCACTGACCTAGTGCGGCAGTATCAGTTGTGTTTCCCAGCAGACGCAAAGGCAGACGCCGGTCGATAGGAACGAAGCGCGCATGCAGATGTACCACCGCGGAGGATCACACATACAAATAATGTATACTGTAGCTAGCGTCGCGACGCGGCAAGCGCGTCCGGGTCATTATCAGAGAGAGAGGGAGGTTCCTCTCGGCCCTCGACGAGGACATCTGGCGGTGGTCAAAAATCATTTCCGCCAATGTCAATGTCAGCCAGCTGATTACTTTGGCCCGGATGGAATGTTGGACATGAAATAAGGAAGTAACCGTCATCGTCAGTACGCTTTCTGTTGTTTTCGCGTGAACGTTTCTATATATGATGGTACGTAGCGTCGGACGCTCCAAGGTCGGGTGGAGATTGGAGATCGCGAAAACTAGGAAAATAAAAAGGACGACGACGTCGTCCTTCCAATAAAAGTGAAAGTCTGATGAGAGCGCCATGCGACACGAAAGTATCAAGTTTCCGAGCGTTTTAATCAGCAATTGGACTTTGAGAAATTTAAATTTTAATAAGTAATAAAAAATATACAGTAGAATTCGTTTATTATGACTCCGCCTATATTGACCAACCGCTCAATATGAAGTTTGGTTTTCTTATTAAATTCTCTATAGGAAAGTTAGGATATAATGGACTCCGTTTAAAATGACATATCGCTTATTATGACTGATTTTCAAGAAATCATATCCGGCTATAGTGACCCAAATTATTAATAATAACATTTTCGCTCGTTTTTCTGACCCTTCTTATGTATATTGATATTACAGTTCATCGTTCTTTTTCTTTTTCTGTTAATAAATATATACAATCTGCGGTTTTTCTCTCTTTTAAACTGAATAACTAACCAAAATAGAAAGTAGTTTATTTTCTAAGACTGCATTGTATGACGCCCGCTTAGTACAAATTGTTTGTCATTTCCCTCCGATGTCATTATAAGCGGATTCTGCTGTAGTACTTTAACGACCTATAAATAAAACATAAGACAGTCGAAAACATCAACTTTTTGTGTAATAAATATCCTNATCAAAAAGTCTAACTATGTTCAGCTTAATCCTTTACTCTTTTGCAATAGAGATTAGACATATCTCCAAAACTCGAGTTATACCGATTCTGTCGTATAATAAATATAATAAAAGAAATAAAAAATGACAAAAACGCTTACCAAGTTGACTGCACTGGTTTTTGCAAAACCAAGAAAGGAGAGTTTTCTTAGGTTGTTTTTTTGCGTATAGAGCAACAAAAACAAAAAGTAAACAATAAATTGTTGGAAAAACAAATTAAACAGGACTGTCATCTGTCATGGTTTACTTTTAACAAGATAAGATTTTCTGAGTAACTTGCAGGCAGAGCACGCCAAATATTTTGAAATACATCAGAAAGTTGGTTCAAATTTGAACTATCCTTCCTGCAAGTTGCTTCTTCATAACGACTCAGATGTTTTCGATAGTGTTTTCATCATTGGGTCCAAACATCTTCTTGAGTAACTTTTGCGTAAAAAACTTCAAAAATTCAAATTTACACTCCGGGAAGCATCCTCTGATACGCATTTATTTTACAGGGTGTTTAACGGTCATCATCATCATCATAGGGTCGTCAGTCCTAAGACTGGTTGGACATGTACCTCCACTCTTTCCTATCCTGAGCTAAACTTCGCATTTCCCTAAAACTAGAACAGCCCACATCCTTAACTATTTGCGAACAGTAATCTAATCTAGGTCTACCTCTACCCCTCCTAACTCCTGTTTCTGCCTCTAATATGTCTCTGACTAGACCTTCATGCCTGAGAAGGTGTCCTACCAACCTATCTCGCCTATTTTTTATTGACTTCCATAGAGTCCTCTGTTCTCCTATTCTTTCCAATACCTCTTCATTTCTAACCTTTTCTACCCACGATATCCTCATCATCCGCCTATAACACCACATTTCGAACGCTTCTAACCTTTTCTTTTCCGCCGCTCCCACTGTCCATGTTTCGCACCCGTACAACGCCGTGCTCCAAACATACACCTTTAACAACCTTTTTCGAATTTCTAAATTAACCGTTCGCGAGCATAGAAGTGACTTCTTTTTATTAAAGGCGACACGACCCTGCGCTATCCTCTGCTTTATATCCCTACTACTCCTTCCATCCTCACTTATCTGACTTCCTAGGTATCTAAAATCAGCCACTTCTTCTAATTTTTCGTCTCCTATCTTTATATTCGCTCTTTCCCTACTTTTTCTTCCCTTGCATATCAGTATTTTAGTTTTACTTTTATTTATTTTCATACAGTACTGATCTGTCAGTACCGCTTCCATTTTATTTAAAGCTATCTCTAGGTCCTCCTTGCTAGATGCTAATACTGCTATATCATCTGCAAATCTAAGCATACTAATCTTTTGCCCTTGCACATCTATCCCTACAGTTGTACTGTCTTTAATGATGTTGATGGCGTCTTCGATGTATAGATTAAAAAGTAGCGGTGACAGTGTGCATCCCTGCCTGACTCCCTTCCTAATATTTACTTCTCTACGTTGCAGCCCCAGCTCTACAACTGCCTGTTGCTCTTTATACAAACTAAGTATCACTCTTCTATCTTTGTAACTCATCCCTACATTTTTAAGTATATTTATATATATTTATATTTGTAGAAGTCAAGTCTGTTGGTAGTTTTTGCAGGAAGATTATCAACGTTTTTCATGATTCGTCATCCACTCCTCAATAAATCTTTTTAATCAAGTCACCTCCGTTTTTGTAGAACAGCCTGTATGGTGAAGACCAAATTGGTATTGGTCTTGCAGCCTTAATCTTAGTCTAAAACCAAGGCCAGACGAACAAGTCCAAGACTAAAACCAAGACCGAACGAACAAAATCAAGACTAGAACCAAGACCGAATATTCAAGACCTAGACCAAATACGCAAGACCGAACGAAAAATTATTACTTCCCAATAAATTTATGAGTTAATCTATTTGAAGCAACTTATATACAATATATTCTTTTCTTGGAACAAAACAGTTTTAGTATTTAAAATTTTCAGTTTGCGTTATTACTAGGTTTTAACACTAACTGTAGATATAAAAAAATAATCTTACCACTGTTTGAAAAAAGGGATCTACAAGAATGTCTCCAGAGTATGTGTTCTTTGTTATTTGTTATGTCTGGATAAGACATGGTTGAAGTAAAGAGACAAACTAACTCTTTTTCGATATTTTTTACTTCATTCAAGTACCTTCTACTTTTTCGTTCGCTAAAAGGTCAATTTATGCGTTGGAGGAAGGGCGAGTGGTGGAGTTGTCAAAACTCTTACAACTTTCCACATTTTCTTTAATAGTTATAACAAGCCTAGATGCATGACACAAAATTTCAACACTTAAGACAATTACTGTGTCGGTAAATAGAAAAATTTTTAATGTGAAAATTAATTTTTTACCCACTATAAACTACCTCAGGTTAATGAGGGAAAATTTGTGGCTGTTGTCACACCCTCACCGGGAATCGAACGTATGCCCCCATTAACCTGAGGTAGTTTATAACGGGTAAAAACTGAAAATGAATTTGTATATACATATATAAGTCTTAGTTACCTACTATTACTTTAAACAATAAAAATGATTAATCATATTTGTGGTTGGCAGAAACCTGCTTTAAAAGCTCAGTTTTGTTCAAAATGCAGTTGTAAAAATCCTTACATGTCAAATGTTTTAAATTAAATTCGGCAACCAACATTTTAGCTTCAGTGTTAACATGTAAGCTGTTGCGTTCTTTTGACCATTGCTGACCTATCAAGGAAAAAACTCTTTCAACGTTTACGTTACGTCCTGGGATCGCAAAGTAATACTGACAAATAATTACGAAGTCTAACAAAAGCCGGACAAGCTGGACACAGTTTATTTTGACTGGACACGCAATCAAAAAGTCTAACTATGTTCAGCTTAATCCTTTACTCTTTTGCAATAGAGATTAGACATATCTCCAAAACTCGAGTTATACCGATTCTGTCGTATAATAAATATAATAAAAGAAATAAAAAATGACAAAAACGCTTACCAAGTTGACTGCACTGGTTTTTGCAAAACCAAGAAAGGAGAGTTTTCTTAGGTTGTTTTTTTGCGTATTATCACTCATTTTAACCGAAAAAAAATGTTAATGTTTCCAAAAAAGTCTTTACAATACACACTTACGACTACGAATATTTATGTACACTTTACACGCGGAACTATGTACAAAACGTATACGCACACAAAGTTTCGTTACGTTCACCACCTTCGCGGTACAGAAAAAATCGCGCACGCACTTATTTTTTCCTGGGCGACCTTCCAAGACGAGTGGTAGCGAATAGGACTTTCGTCAGCATCGGATATCCCCGATCCGACGTTTCGATCAAATCTTGCACGTACTCAGTGTAAGTAGGCGTCTTCAAAATTAACTTAGCCGTGGTTCACCGGACAATGGAACCCCAAGCGCCAATAAAATCTGTAATAAAAGATCGAATTAATGTTTGCACTTCAATTCGTAATAAACGTCGGTAGGCATCACGAGATAAAAATTTAAATTTTTAATTAACAATTGCACGTTAAAACCATGAAATACCGAACGTCCTACACAGAACATTCCGGCGAACGTTTCCGATGTTGTTATTACATTTTTTTTTGTACTAAATTTTCGCGATGGAATACCAAAAGCTTAGCAGTGTTACAATTGTAGAAAATAAAAAAGTGTTAAATGATTTCCAGAACGATAAACGTTACAAATAAGAAATTTAACGGTAACATATTAATCGATTGAAAAAGGTTCTATAACGTTTCCTTCGTGTGAATGCTGGATCCATCTTAATTGATTAATTGGTCTAATTAATATACTTCTAGTAAGGTTTTAACATACAACACATAAAAATACCATTATTACATGAAAAGATGTTGTACACATACACAAGAAAATAGTAAAAAGAAAAGACAAAAGTAAAAAACACCAACTCTGTTGGACAGTGGTGAACAACAATTACAAAAAAAACATCAATAAGAACAGACAAAAAATTATAAACACTTGAATTAAACAATCTAAAACTTGAGGTAGATATACATCAAAATACAAAATAAAAATAGATGATTATAGGGATAACATAAGAACAAAGGCTTTTATGGTAGGAATTTGGAAGTAAATCTAAGATTTTCGTACATAGGGCGAACTTAAAATGAATGATTATAGGGCCAAACGTTTCGTCGGTAAATGCAGCTGATATATTCATTAAAAATTGCGTTGTTAAAATATATTAGTCACGGTTACAAAACAGTCACATAAATATGTAAAATTCAGAGAATAAAAAGAAACTGATTTTGGGATTCGGAATTTTTTAACGGCAGAGATATAAAATAAACAAAATACTGCAAAATGATTTAATGATTGTTACTGTACACTAATTGTAAGAACTTTCGTTCATCTTATGCAATATTTTCGATGCATGCGATATATATTTTTTTTTAATTAAAACTTCGTACGTAGACAGTTTATGCTAATATTCAAAAAATAAATCTCACCGTTTTGCCAACAGCTGTATTTTGTACATGCCGAAAATTTTGAAAGACCTTTACGTTTCAAACTTAAATTAAACAAGTGTGGCAAGTGTGACAAGTTTAAGAGGATTCTTTACTTATTTTATGATAATGCACAGTACCGGACTAAGAGATTTTGACATGAGAGACTTACGAATTCTTACGACTTCATAATACATATATACAACAGTATAAATAGTAGTCTACAGATCATACACACATATATATACTTATTGTACAGGATAATGTTAAATTAGGTTAGGATAGGTTGGGTTATGTATAATACGTATTTAAATAAAATTAATTCAAACACATTTCATTAGTGATATGATCAAGAAACATTTTATTACAATAAAATAAACTTTTGAAGAAAATTGCTTTTTAATGTTTTAAACTTATCTTATTTAAAAAGAAATTTTCTTCAAAAGTATATTTTATAGTAAGTTTTTGCGAAGGCTAGCTCAGGAGTCGATGTGCATGTCCAACCAGTTTTAGGACTAACGACCTTATGATGATGTTGAGTAAGTTTATGATTTGATAAACAACCTACGATTTGAACCATGAATAGATTTTTAATAAAACGCAAACAAATAATTTTGAGTCCACCACTGACGAAGTGTAATCTTGTTACAATTAAGTTTTGATTTGTTATTGCTTTGGAATTAAGACAGTGTTAAGTTTTGACCTACACAATATGTGTCTTTAACATTTAACATAAAACAAACTAATTTTGATTCTGTTTTTGACCTTTTCATAAAAGAACCTTCAAAAAACATTGGACGGATTAAAGCAGAAAGAATCTTTTCCTTAATAAATCTAAATGTTGTGTTATTATGTAGTATATTATATAAAAACCGCAAATTGTAGCTTGTGAAGTATGAGATGCTCAGAGGACTGCGCAATGTACTATATGTACATTGGCAAAGAACTTGAAAAATACTAATTTACTTTACACCTACTTGACAATAAATGAAGCAAACAATTACCCAATAACAGATTTACGGCAATTTTGATTCCTTCTTTGATTTAACTATTCAAAATACAAACAATTTGTAAACGCTTTGGAGATGTTAATTGGTAATAAAAATTCGAACCATTTTGGATTGTTAAGAGTACAAGAACACATGTGCACCAAGAAGTTTTTATGTTAATAGGACCATGGTCATTTCTATTTAAATTATTTCTCAGATTTTAACTTTTCGAGCGTATTTAGATGTCAATATTTGGTTGTCTTGGGGTTTTAGGCAGAATGTGAAAGATCATTTGGTTACGATACAGAGAAACGCTATACTATGCACCTTGGACTTACATAAGGTTATGGTGATGCAGAATTTCCTGATTTCGCTTGTGTAACGTGTTATAGTTCACGGACGTAAGTTTTGCTAATGGTGAGAGAGGGCTTCCTGGCTAGTTAGACATATACGGACATATTTTCTGGTATTTTTGCGGTGAGCAATACGGCCGATTTACTCACTGCGAGAAACATCGAGCACTTTATAGATAGGCGCCACAAACATTCATGACAATCATACGATTTATATGTCGTCCTGGACCGTCACTAGTAAATCTGCCTGTTAATGGAAATCTACAGCGATTGTCACGACGGATTTGCTTGGCTGGTGACCTTTAGCGGCGAGTAATACAGTTTATCGATCGGCGCCATAAACGGTTATGATAATCATTGGATTTGTGTGTCGTCCTGGTCCGTCACGAGTAAATTTGCCTGTTTATGGAAACGTACAGCAATTGTGGCGACGGATTTGCTTAGATTGTGACCTTTAGTGGCGAGCAACATAGCCGATTTACTCACGGCGAGCAGCAACGAGCACTTTATCGATCGACGCCATAAACGGTTATAATAATCATACGATTTGTGTGTCATCCTGGGCCGTCACTAGTAAATCTGCCTGTTAATGGAAATGTACAGCGATTGTCATGACGGATTTGCTTGGCTGGTGACCTTTAGCGGCGAGCAATACGGCCGATTCACTCATGCCGAGCAACGACGAGTATTTTATCGATCGGCGCCATAAACGGTTATGACAATCATGCGATTTGTGTGTCGTCCTAGTTCGCCACGAGTAAATCTGTCTGTTAATTGAAATGTGCTGTGAATCTCGTGACGGTTTTGCTTCTATCGTAGCCTTTGGCGTCGAGCAATACGACCGATTCACTCATGGCGAGCAAAGACGAGCACATTTTCAACCAACGCCATAAATAACCATGGCAATCATACGATTTGTTTGTAGTCCTGGTTCGCAAAGAGTAAATCTGTCTATTAATTGAAATGTGCTGTGAATCTCGTGACGGTTTTGCTTCTATCGTAGCCTTTGGCGTCGAGCAATACGACCGATTCACTCATGGCGAGCAAAGACGAGCACATTTTCAACCAACGCCATAAATAACCATGGCAATCATACGATTTGTTTGTAGTCCTGGTTCGCAAAGAGTAAATCTGTCTATTAATTGAAATGTGCTGTGAATCTCGTGACGGTTTTGCTTCTATCGTAGCCTTTGGCGTCGAGCAATACGACCGATTCACTCATGGCGAGCAAAGACGAGCACATTTTCAACCAACGCCATAAATAACCATGGCAATCATACGATTTGTTTGTAGTCCTGGTTCGCAAAGAGTAAATCTGTCTATTAATTGAAATGTGCTGTGAATCTCGTGACGGTTTTGCTTCTATCGTAGCCTTTGGCGTCGAGCAATACGACCGATTCACTCATGGCGAGCAAAGACGAGCACATTTTCAACCAACGCCATAAATAACCATGGCAATCATACGATTTGTTTGTAGTCCTGGTTCGCAAAGAGTAAATCTGTCTATTAATTGAAATGTGCTGTGAATCTCGTGACGGTTTTGCTTCTATCGTAGCCTTTGGCGTCGAGCAATACGACCGATTCACTCATGGCGAGCAAAGACGAGCACATTTTCAACCAACGCCATAAATAACCATGGCAATCATACGATTTGTTTGTAGTCCTGGTTCGCAAAGAGTAAATCTGTCTATTAATTGAAATGTGCTGTGAATCTCGTGACGGTTTTGCTTCTATCGTAGCCTTTGGCGTCGAGCAATACGACCGATTCACTCATGGCGAGCAAAGACGAGCACATTTTCAACCAACGCCATAAATAACCATGGCAATCATACGATTTGTTTGTAGTCCTGGTTCGCAAAGAGTAAATCTGTCTATTAATTGAAATGTGCTGTGAATCTCGTGACGGTTTTGCTTCTATCGTAGCCTTTGGCGTCGAGCAATACGACCGATTCACTCATGGCGAGCAAAGACGAGCACATTTTCAACCAACGCCATAAATAACCATGGCAATCATACGATTTGTTTGTAGTCCTGGTTCGCAAAGAGTAAATCTGTCTATTAATTGAAATGTGCTGTGAATCTCGTGACGGTTTTGCTTCTATCGTAGCCTTTGGCGTCGAGCAATACGACCGATTCACTCATGGCGAGCAAAGACGAGCACATTTTCAACCAACGCCATAAATAACCATGGCAATCATACGATTTGTTTGTAGTCCTGGTTCGCAAAGAGTAAATCTGTCTATTAATTGAAATGTGCTGTGAATCTCGTGACGGTTTTGCTTCTATCGTAGCCTTTGGCGTCGAGCAATACGACCGATTCACTCATGGCGAGCAAAGACGAGCACATTTTCAACCAACGCCATAAATAACCATGGCAATCATACGATTTGTTTGTAGTCCTGGTTCGCAAAGAGTAAATCTGTCTATTAATTGAAATGTGCTGTGAATCTCGTGACGGTTTTGCTTCTATCGTAGCCTTTGGCGTCGAGCAATACGACCGATTCACTCATGGCGAGCAAAGACGAGCACATTTTCAACCAACGCCATAAATAACCATGGCAATCATACGATTTGTTTGTAGTCCTGGTTCGCAAAGAGTA